CGAAATAAACACAAAATTGACTCTTGTCCCATTCATACCCCCCACCAATTTTTTGGTATGCCAAAAAATTTATACAAACACATACATGATAAATTTTCAACACAGTGATCAATAAAACTGGACTAAAATGAAATAAAATTGTAATCTTTAGTTTTATGCATGAGTAGGGAAATGAAACTACCTCTTTTTTTTTAAAAAAATTCAAATTGTCCTTCAAATAATAGCTTTATTGGAAGCAAATAATGAGAAAATCAAGGGTGTACATTTCGATCTAGTACATAGACGAATATTCAAAAATGGCCTATGCTGCGAAGGAGCTGCTCTACCTCGCTGGGGTACATGCGTTTAAATTGCCCTGATTGAAAATGTAGCCTAAACTGTTTTACGCGCCTTTTTCCTTCATTTCTCCGCAAGTAGTCTCGCATAAGCCTAATTTCGTGGGGGGTGATGATTTCGAAGTTTTGATCTGGTTGAGACTCTTCCGGAGTAGGTTCAGGTTCCGGAGTAGTTAAATCCACTACTTGCTCTTCTACTTTACGTGCCGGGGTTGGTGGTGGAGACGTGTAGGTAAAATTGAAGGAAGGCCTGGGGGGATATTTGAACGCTACGGGCCTGTAAATGTCTGTAGTCCCGGCAGAGAGGGGGGACGCTACCTGTGCCAATAGCTGATCTTTAATTCGAATTCTTAAATTTTGGCCTACGTTACCCTCGTAGGGCTGAATGGGCGCCCTACGAACCAACGCCTCTGCGTACATGAGAACAAAGGCGCCGCAGTCACTCTGATTTGTCTGCTGAGGTACAGACGCCGCGTACGTGCTCCACGGGGACCCTGGTGCCAACCGTGTGCAGAAATCCCGCATTAAAGATAGGGACATGTTGGCCGTGCTATCATCATAAATAGAGTCCATGCAGATGATTAGTCTACTCTGGAAATCGGCACATACGAGGTACCAATGTTGCCTTGTCGGGCAATGAATTGGTACAATAAGCAAGTCTGGGCGCCTGCCCAATTTTCGAAGATTACAATCTACACCCTCTCGTAGTAAAGAGGTAAAAAAAAAACTACTAATACTATTTTTGTGACTTGGTCGGCCTGAGCTTTCGTTTGGAGCAGTGACACATATGCATTCATTGTTGTGTCATCCAACCAAGCCCCAAGCATCAATTTTGACAAATTCTCGTGTGAGAGCTCCATTATGAGAATTTACAAGTTAAATTCAAAATATTGAAGAATAAAGAATTTGAGTAGAATTTAAGTAGCCGTCTGAACACAGAGAAAATTTGACAATATTAAAAGGATAATAATACAGACGAAAAATTTAAAATGAATCTTCTGAAACAGTACAAAAGGACAATTGAAAAACAGACCTGACAAGTTAGAAGAAAAAAAATTGAATTCTTTATGTAGAAATTATTAGTAGAAAACAGGTGCTCACACGAGAATGCTTAAAGCAAGCAGCCTTAGACGGGCGTGCAAGCTTTACGATTTAAGAGAACAGAATTCAGAAAACAGATGCTCACACGAGAATGCTCAAAGCAAGCAGCCTTAAACGGGCGTGCAAGCTTCGCGATTTAAGAAAACAGAATTCAGAAAGCAGATGCTCACACGAGAATGTGTCAAAGCAAGTAGCCTTAGACGGGCGTACGAGCTTTAGAAATTCAGTGAGAGAAGCGAGTACTAGCTTGACCGCTAATTCGATGCCGACTGGTCCAGCGGGAGGCGACAAACTTTGACGACCGGTCGCTGGAACGTGTGTCCATCTGCCCTTTGAACCGTCACCACGCGAGTTATCTGGTCTGTGCCTGGGTGCACCTTGGTGACTCTAGCGAGCGGCCAGTGGAGAGGCAGCGTATTATTTTCCTTTAGCAGGACGACGTCATTTTCGGCGATTGGGTTTGTGCCTTGCTGCCACTTTTGCCTTAATTGTAGCTCATGTAAATATTCTAGGGACCATTTTGCCCAGTAGTCCTGGGACATAGCCTGGAGTAGCTGCCATCTGGACAGGTGATTGCGAGGTTCCCTGCTCCAGTCGTATTCGGGTAGGCTAAGGAGAGGTCCACCGACGAGAAAATGAGCAGGTGTAATTACCTCTATGTCTTCGACGTCTGACGATAAACTGCATAGAGGTCTTGAATTTAATATTGCTTCGATTTTATAAAGAAGAGTTGACATTTCCTCGAATGTCAAGCTCTGATCGCCGATTGCTCTACGCAAGTGGTATTTGACGGATTTTATGCCAGCTTCGAAGATTCCTCCGAAATGGGGTGCGCTTGGTGGGTTGAAATTCCAGGAAATTTTTCGTTCGGCCAATTTTCGCCGTAGCTCCGATTTATTCTCCGGGCTTTTCAGGAACTCGTAAAGTTCGCTTAACTGGTTGTTGGCGCCCTTAAAATTTGTTCCATTGTCGGAGCAAATCTCTTCGCAAAGACCTCGCCGAGAAGTGAAACGATCTAGTGCGGCAATAAAGGCGTCCGTAGTAAGGTTAGAAACTACTTCTAAATGGATGGCTTTGGTTGCCATGCAAATGAAAAGGCAAATGTATGCCTTTATGAGTGACGCATTTCTCCTCTGTCCTTGTTTTAAATATACTGGGCCTCCAAAATCTACGCCTACTTTTAGGAAGCATCTGGCGGGAATTACTCTACTTTTTGGCAATTCGCCCATTAAAGGCTCGGACTTACGTTTTGAGAATCGTACGCATTTTATGCATTTTCTGAGAATCGAGCGAA